CACACACACACACACACACACACACACACACACACACACACACACACACACACACACACACACACACACACAAGTACCCGGATGCCGGGTCATCTTGTCTTCTTTGGCCGCTTGCCGCCTCTCATCGCTGGCCCCTTGCATAAGGAGGTGTGTGTGTTTAAAATGCTCTATTTATGTCAAACCCAAAAGAGAGAGAGAGAGAGAGAGAGAGAGAGAGAGAGAGACATGAAGGAGATGGGATCGATGATAGCACCTCGATCTCTCCAAGGGCCGGGCCACCTCTCTCACCAATGGCCCCCTCTCGCCGGGGGAGATGTGGCGAATGGCTGCTGCTGCGCCAGCGGATGGACGACAAGCGGTGAGGACATGGCTGGATGTTGATTCCCGGACTGGGACATCATCATCAAGGACGCTACATTCCCACTACTCGAGCCGCCATGGCCGCCGCCGCCGCCGCCGCCACCGCCGCCACCACCACCACCACCGATCACCGACGCATCATCGGTCTCCGAGAAGAACAGGTCCCCGGAGAAGGAGGTCGACAGGCCTGCAACCGCGGACAGGGACGAGCAGGAGGCATCGGTCGACAGAACTGTGCTGGTAATGATAGGCGTCTCCTCAAAGCGAAGATCTGCGTGTGCCGTGGATGGGACGTGGTCAGGGGGTGGAAGGGGATGGGAGAGCGCGCGCGGACGCGAAAGAAAGGTCAGAGGGGGGAGGGGAAGACAACAGCCGGTTATGGAGGGTGAAGGGGAGAGCCCTTCCCCCATTCAAGGACAGCCGCCGGGAGGAAGAAAAGGAGGAGTGCAACTGGACACCGCCTCCCCCCCCCCCCCCTCGCCCTCTCAGGAGCAGCCTGAGAGACTCCCCGGCGCGGAAACCGGGGTGCAGAGAAATAGCATGCACGAGAATGAGGGAACTCGGCCTGTGCGGAGGCAGAGAGCAGAGGAGGGGAGGAGAGAGACAGAGAGGCAGCTAGAGCAACGCACCGGAGAATGCGCACTCGTTCGCGTGCCGGCACTCTCTCCACCCCTGAGACCCAGCGCACGGCCCACACTCACAAGTGCTCGGGTGATTCTGCCCCCAGCGAGGAGGAGGTAGGATGGAACATACTGCTGCTACGGCTCGGGCCGGTAGTCAAGCCGGGAGTCGCCGGGACGACCGGCGCGCGCCGGAATGTCCCGGCAGTCAGCCCACACGAGGCATTTACCGGGCTAGGCCCTGTCAAAGCGTCCCCGGGAGCGTGGTTTCGGAAGGGGCTTTGCTGCTGCTGCTGCTGCTGCTGCTGCTGCTGCTGCTGCTGCTGCTGTTGGTTTAGGTGGTGGTGGTGATGATGATGATGCAGAGACTGCTGCTGGTGGAGCGGCGCGCCGGCGAACGCAGGCCCCAAGCCCTGGTCGCCACCCATTGGCTGGTGCACGCTCAGGGGCCGGCCGCTGCGGGGGGAAAGGGGGCCCACCGGAGACCCGACCGAGGAGGATGGCTCGGACTTCAGGTGCCCCAGCTGCGAGAACTTCATGCGCAGCGAGGCACACGAGTCCGAGCGCGAGGGCGGCTCGGTCGCGGAGGGCAGATCGGCGAAGCTGCTCGACTGTAGCGGCTGGAAGTAGTCCATGCCGGCCATCGCCCCGGAGGACGGGTCGCCAACCGGAACGGCAATCTGAGAGCCCGGCTGGAAGAGCGAGCTCGAACTCCAGGACCGCTGTCCCGGAGGCAGGAGGGCCGTCTCCTGGCCGGCGCCGGCGGCCCCGCCGGTCGCATGCATGGCCGACGTCGGCATGGAGCCGATGCAGCCGTCCGATTGGCCCAGCGAGGCCAACACCCGAAGGTCCATCATGGACTGGGCATTCAAGTGGGGCGCCTGGTGGGTGCGGCCCCCCCCGAAGGCCGGACTGCTGTCGACGGCGATGCGGCATGTGGCCGTCGTGCTCGCCAGCATGGGAACCCCGCCATCGCCGAGGCTGCCAGCGCCGCTGCTGGCCACCGACGTCATCGGGGGAGGCACCGGCGAAGCGCCAGCCACAGGGCTGCGGCTGTCCGCCCGGCTGGAGGAGTTGCGCAGCTTGGAAGCCGCACGCGGGCGCGGGCCAGACCGTTCCATCGGGAGCGGGGTTGCCCCGGTGCGTGTGCCCCCGGCCATCAGCAGCTCCGAGCCCCGGGTGCCGGAACAAACACTCGGAAGCAGCACCGAATCCAGGGACACCGACCGGGGAAGGTCGTCCAGCCCGCCGGCGCGTGCCGCGACCCCGCAGCTACGTCCGCTGCCGGGACCGGCACCGGGGCCGCCCAGGGCCAGGCCATGCCCGGGACCCATGCGATCACCGGGCGGACGACGCCGGGCCACCCCGCCACGCGGGCTGCTCAGAGCCGAGGAGGAGGGGCTGCCACCGGCGGCGGCCACGGCCGCGGCCGCCGCAGCCGCCAGCATATCCTCCCCCCCGGCCAGGGGGGCCGACGAGTGTGACCGGCCATTCGGAGTGACGGCTGCGGCCGCTGCGGCAGCGGCCGCAGCGGCGGCCGACAAAATCCGCGGCGACCGGAGGGAGATCGTGCCGAAGAGCGGGCTCACCGGAGTGCCGGTGGCCATGGCCAAGCCACACATGCCGGTGGCCTGGCGATCGGCCGCCTGCACGGCCAGATCCTCGGAGATGCTGTGCCCTTGGCGGACCATGGCCCCGACATCGTAGGAGCTTCGCCAAACCACCCGCGACTGCCGGGTGGGGTCATTGCGGAAGGCCCACCGGCGGATGGACCGATCGCCCGGAGCCTGGCCGCAGCTGATGAAGGTGCCATTTTCGTCGCACGCCACCGCGGCCACCGGGCCCCGGTGGGCGGCGAACGTCCGCTCCAGGCGCCCGGTGGCCAGGCACCACGCGCGGATGGTGCTGTCCGCGCTGCCAGTACGTGTGCTCTTCCGATCTCGGCGGATGGACCGATCGCCCGGAGCCTGGCCGCAGCTGATGAAGGTGCCATTTTCGTCGCACGCCACCGCGGCCACCGGGCCCCGGTGGGCGGCGAACGTCCGCTCCAGGCGCCCGGTGGCCAGGCACCACGCGCGGATGGTGCTGTCCGCGCTGCCAGTAAGTGCCCGCTTGGCGCCAACCCCCTCGAGCTCGACAAAGTGCAGGGCCGACACATCGGCCGTATGGCCGACAAGCTCATGCAGGCAGGCCCGATCGCGAAAGGCCGGCCCGGCCGTCGGCCCCGAGGGACAGCCCTCGCCCCCCGGGCCGACCGGGACCGGTGACATGCCGGCGCCCCCGCCGGAGGAGCTGATGCCCCCATCCGACGGGTCGGTCAAGATCGGAAGAGCGTCGTGCAGGGCCGACACATCGGCCGTATGGCCGACAAGCTCATGCAGGCAGGCCCGATCGCGAAAGGCCGGCCCGGCCGTCGGCCCCGAGGGACAGCCCTCGCCCCCCGGGCCGACCGGGACCGGTGACATGCCGGCGCCCCCGCCGGAGGAGCTGATGCCCCCATCCGACGGGTCGGTCAACACGCGCAGGTCAAACACCCGGCACACGCCGTCCGAGCTGCCGGTCATCAGGGTCTGCGCGCTCATGAGCAGGCTGTTGATGCCCAGACGCAGGAAGGAGGGGCCCCAGCGGGCTGCCCCGGCGGCGGTGCTGCTCGCACCACCGGGCCCGGTGGCAGGAGCCGACAGACGCGACAGCACCGGTCGGCTGAGGAAGCCAAAGGGCGAGTCGGCGGCCGGCGGGCCGCCGGTCACCAGCGGCAGCAGGCCCGGCGGCAGGCAGAGCAACGTGGCGGCCAGGGAATTCCGCGTCCGAGCTCGAGTGTCGAAGAGCCGAATCCGGCCATCCCCACACCCGGCCGCCACCAGGCGGTCATCTGCCTGCAAGCACACCACCCCCGGCACCACGCCGCGCAGGGTCGGATCCGCCAGACCAGGCCCCGAGCCGAAGATGGCAATCCGGTCGCGCACCAGCCCGGTGGCCAAATCATGCACCAGCAGGGCACCCTGGTTGTCCCCGGAGAGGACTCGATCGCGGTCGAATTGCAGGCAGAAGGGCACGGCCGCCGGATCGCTGGCCGGGTGGCCCCCGAACACGGCCAACGGATCGGCCAGGGACAGGAGCGGCGACCGCCGGGGGAAGAGCTCCTCGAAGGTGGCCCCGGCCAGGGCCTCGGCCACATGCCCCAGGGAAAAGAGCTGCAGCGTGCCGTCCGAGTTGGCGGTCATCGCGTGCGTCGAATTGAAGGCCAAATCCACGGCATACTTGCCGCCACCAAGAGGGGCGCTCCCGAGGCCGGCAGACCCAGGGCGCCCGAGCGAGGCGGCCCATGTATAGGGCACCTGCCCGGCGTCCGGCCAGCCGGAGCCCTGGTCCGGGTGTGTGGCCGCCTCGGGGATCGAGCAGAAGACATCGATCGGACGCCCGGAGGCCGAGCTGTGCACCGCGAAGACCAGCCCCCCGTCGGAGGACATGCGCAGGCAGCGCAGCCGCTCGGCATCACCGAGGAATGGCGTGCCGATGGGCTCGGCCGTCACCACGGGCGGGGCCCCGCGACGCCGGGCACCCCCAGGGCCTTCGCCTCGACGGTGGTACAGGACCGGCCGGTCCCAAGCCGTGGTCACCATGCGATAATCACCGAGAAACCATGTTCCCAGCGCGGCGGACATTGTCCCTGCGTGATTCGGAGACACAGCAGAGGCGGGGCAGGGCGGGGCAGGGCGGGGCGAGGAGGAGCGTGAGTGGTCATGCTGGGACGTCGCACGGGAAGAGACCGGTGGGGGGATGGAGGCGACGCGCACATTTAGCTCTTCCGTGTCAGGCGGGGGGGGGCGTGTGCATGTGTGTTAGCAGGAAAGGCGCAGCTCGGGAGGCTGGTCACATGCAAGATGATGGCAGACAAGGTGTTGGGGGGGGGGGGGGGGGGGGGGGGGACAAGAGGCGCAGGAGGAGAGGCGCAGGAGGAGAGGAAGGCGGGGAAGATCGTAGAAACGACTTGCAATCGAGGGCGGAGTACGGGTGCCGGGGTGGAGGGATCTCTTCCTGAGGCGGTGATGGGGAGATTGATGGGGGGAGGGGAGGGGGGGGGGGGGCGCGCGTTAGGCGATGCTCTAAGCTGCTGAAGCGGGGAGGGAGGGGGGAGAGAAGACTTGGAGGGGAAGGCGGGGATCGTGCGCACCTCGCTTCGCAGAAGTCGGGAGAAGAGAAGTGGTGCTCGAGGGTAAATGTGAAAATGGATGTTCAAGAAAGGAGATCGGGGAGTGATGACAGGCGAAGGGCGCTGCCGAAGGAAGGAGCAGAGCAAATGAGGGCACGAGGGACAAGCTAAGACACAGAAAGGAAAATGCAGCAACAGGTGGGATGTTGAATTCCACGCCTCGAACGAAGGACTGGTTTTTCAGTGGGAAGAGGCGTCATAGGTCGGGGAGTCAGTGGGCTTGTGGATGCGCGGGCAAGCAGCTCAAGAAAATCAACTCGATAGGGGATGGGGGAGGGGGGGGGGGGGAGAGAGAGAGGGCATGCATCCACGAGGAGCGGAAATGTTGCGCGGGAAGGGCGGGAGGGTTGGGGAGGGGAGGCAAGGAAAAAATACCAATTGAGGGAGATCAATTGCTCTGCGATATGGTGGGGACCGGTACGCCTGGCGAGAGAGGTGGCGGCCCTTTTTTAAAAAGGGTCCGCCCACACTCCCCGTGGAGTGTGGAGGAGCGCGGCGAGACGCCCAGAGTGAGTCAGACAGGCAGAGAGCGGCAACGGTGCCGGCGCAGCACCCGAGCAAGACGGAGCGGGGCTCAGCGCAACACCCGCCAAGGCGCGCAATTTACCCCGGGCAGATGAGGCACCCCCCGAGGTCGTCCTCGGTCGCCTATAAAGCCGGAAGGGCCAGCATTCCTAGGTCCAGCCGAGCAGATGGCAGCCACTCGTGAGCATGTGTGTCTGCGCGTGTCTGCGTGTGTCTGTGAGTGTGTGCGAGGGAGGGAGGCGGGGAACATCCACGCAGCAGGCGCGAGGGCAGCGAAACACAGATGGTCATTCTCAGGCGGGTCTAGTGGTGTAAAGCCGCCCTCCTGCGAGTGTGTAAGCGTTCCTGAATCGCCTGCTGCTGGAGCGAGAACGCCCCCGTTGCAGCGCCTTTCCCGAGGGGCAAGTAAGTCGTCCTGAGCTATCATGCCGTCGGCTTTCTCTCCCGACCTGCCCCCCGCTCCCCACCCCTGCCCCTACCTCTTCCCCTTGGAACGCTAAAAGGCCCCGACAAGCCTGCCGAAAGTGCGCTCGGTCATCTGTCACTCGCCTCTGAGTATGCGCGGTGCTCGGGCATCGGTCGGCCGCCCAAGAGCTTGGAACGGGAGAACAGGGAGGCGAGGGGGGGGGGGGGGGGGAACGGAGAGAAAAGGAGCCGATGACTTCGGTGGAATGAGGCGGCCGGTCGGAAAGATGAAGGCCAGACCGCGGCTCGGAGAGGAAAGAAAGAGGGAGGATCAGCGTCGCAGCTGCATCGCGCCGGTCCTTGGTCCCGCAGAAGAGCCGGAGGCAGCGTGGGCGCACTTTCTGATCCCAGGGTGTGTGCCGGGCAACTGCCACTTACGCGCTCGGAAAATTATGCCCACCCGCGCTCGCGAACACCACTCCTGGGGGGGGGGGGCACCACACACACACACACACACACACGCACGCACACACACACGCGCGCGGAAAACGGGAAATAAAAAAGCCCCCTTGGCCGCTGATTCCTGGATCGCCCACAGCGGTATGGCCAAGGGCAGGATCCAAAAATCAAATAGCCCTTGGCCCTTGCCCCCCCCCCGCTCCCCCCACCCACCCACCCACCCACCTCAGTGGCCCCGATCAGCCAAGGACGGGAGGCCCCACGCCATCCTGCCAAGGACAAAGTTGAACACCCGCGACCATTCTGTCTAGCCCACAAGTAGAATATGCAAAGTAAACACCCCACACGGGAGGTGCAGGGGGAGGGCCGACGACGCCGAGCATACAAGCACATCTGCCGGGCATCATGGGAAGCTCTCGGGCAATCGCCCAGAACGCAAATGACCCCCTCTTCCTTCCTCCCGGCCCCGCTCTGCCTCGGGGCACGCTTGTGGGGGCCCCGCTTGCTGTGCAACCCGGCCACCCGAGGAGGGAGGTCGCCCGCGGCACGGCCGGGCGCGCGGAGGCCAGCGGGTTAAGGCCTAGAATGTCGTTTTGGCCCGAGCGCATGCCCCCACCGCGGCCATGGCCCTTGTGATCCCTCCGTAGTCATATGCCCAACATGAGATACTGCCAACTTATGGCCGCCGAGAGCGTGCAATATTATTGCCCTGGGACCCCGCCGCCCCGTGCCCTGACCCCCTCGCAGCCTCCGCCCCCCGAAGAAGGGCGGGGTGCCCTGGATGAATGACCCCAGCGAGGGACGCCCGCTTGTCACCTTTCGCCGAATTGACGCAGCCGAGCCAACCGCGGTCCCATGCGCGCCCAGCGCACATGCGCCCGTGTGTCTCCCTCTCGTCGTGGTTATTCCACGCGCGTACGCACACAAACACACAGGCATATGCCTCAGCCGGGGGGGGGGGCATGTGTGGTGGCCCCCGCGGCGCGTGAATTGCTGCGCTGGGAATGAAAAGGCATGGGCAATAAGGCCGGGCAGCCCGGCCACGCCACTATCATCGTCCCCATCAAGGGCGCGGAGCCAGGACGGCAGCCCGGGGGGCGCCCGGCAAACTCCCGCCGAACAAGTGAACACCTCCCACCGGGCCCGAAGAACGAGCGGCGCACAAATCGCCCATCGCTGGGTAGGCCCATGGCCGGAGGCGGAGACCCCTGCCGGAGAAAGGGGGCGGGGGGGGGGGGGGGGGAGGCGGGGGACCGAAATGCACATTCCACTCCCTCACGGGGTGGCAGGGAGGACGGGGGAAAATAGCCGGGGGATGCGGCGCCGGCCGACCACGCCCGTTGCAAATGCGCACCCCGGCGCCCGTCACACGGCCCAAGACCGAGAACGCAGGACACGGCACGGGGGCGGGGCGTCTGCCCGCGGTCGGAGCTCGGTCCCCCCCCCCCCCCTCTTCCCCCCTCGTCTCCGTTGGGGGAAAGAGGGCGCCCGATCTGCTCCCCCTCCCCCGGACCCCGGCGAACTCCCGTATATTTCGGACCAAGGGGGGCCACCTCGCGGAGGCATGCCCACTGCCCAAGTGGGATGCTCTGCCCGCCGTCCCCCGCGCCCGGCACACCGCCTGAGGACGGAAAGGGCTGACGCAGGAGATCTGCCACCGCGGGAGGGACAACCAGCCCCTGTTTTTGTTGTCGCTCGGTTCATTTCTTCCCCAGATACCCCCGACCGGCCACAGCAAGCCCCTGTCTTCTGGGCAGGAGCCGGGGCCCTGTTTCGATTGGGGGCCCCCCTTTTGGGCGCCTGCCTCGCATCCCGGCAAGCAAGGCCACGGCCAGTCTCCTCCTCCCCCTACCCACACACACACACACACAC